ATCCAATAAATGAAAAAACATTGATCTTTCTAAAACACATGACGAATAGAAGGGCCCAACCGGTCAAGGTTGTCAGACGTGTTCCAAGTTGCGGTCCTCGACTGAGTCCCTCAAATTTAAGTGCGATATTCCCGAATAATAATGTCAATATGCCACTATAGAAAGACTTGCCGGCTAAAGACTTGTGTCGAGCTTCTAAGTCTATATAAATTATCAAAATATATGTTTTTTTCGGTTGTAAAAACTAGAACATGAAGGGAACAATGAATCGTTCGTTTCAATAGAATGTTCTGATATCAAGAGACAATGCTTCGCAGAAAGCCATACCCAGCGCAGTCCGAGCACAGCGGGAAATTAGACAATAGCTGTTTCCAGACCGGGGATAGAGGGACTGTGCAAAACCTAATCAAATCTGCGCATTGGCCCAGAGCATCTATGCACCAAGTTTCATCAAAAAAGGATGTATGGTTCTTGAGATATTAGTGGAACAGACGGACACACACACACACACATACATACACATACAAATACAGACAGACTAACTGCAAAGACTCCCATTGTGAGCTTTGCACACGGGAGTCAGAAATAAAGTGTCACAAAATTAAACATTTTAGTCATGTTGTACTGTACAAAATTGTCTGATAACAATCACCATATTATCAAAACGTGAAATTAAATCAATTTAACCCAAGACTCAAACTTGCTTCGAGCAATGCTTAGATCATAATCTATAAATAGAATATTAGACCTTCAGCAAGCATGGTCACTATTTTGAACAGTAAATCGTGAAATACAGACGCATTCAATGACCTGATACATGAATGCACATATTTCATTCAACGATCACTGTGTGTAGGGTTTTGGAAGAAACAAGACAATTTGTTTCCCCAAGTGTTCTTAATTTAAATTTTGGTAGTTTCCTTGTAGTCTATTTAAACACAGTATAGGATCTCATTATATAGGCTCCCTGCATATTTCCATTCATAGGAAGGCGAAAATTCAAGACAATTGATTCAATATGTTAGCAGACATTATTTTGGTATCTAGTTTTAAATTTCACCTGCCAAAGTCACTTAGTAAACACCAATCATATTTTAGCAGTTGCATGCCATTTTTTTTCGACTTTGACAACACTCTGGACATAGTTTAAATTATCTCTGCTATTTATAATTTATACTTTTTCTAATAAGAACATTCTAAACATTCTATGCATAAGAGAGAATGAGCTTCAGAGTAGCAGTGCACATGTTTTTGGTTCTTTTCATTATTGATAAATTTACTGTAACTGTAAATACCCACTCTCACTATAAATCGTGGGGTTACAATGCTAGCTTCAATTACAATTTTTATGGTACAAGGAACTCAAGAAAGTAGCCAGGAACTAAGTACTTGGTTGACATGTTGTTGCTTTCCAGTACAATAGACACAGACACAATCCATGCTTTCAGCAACTTATCAAGTAACACTGTGGCTATTAAGTTACTGTACTGTAATTTCACTATTTTGTTTAAAAACAAAGTCGTTCATTGGTTTATTCTTCTGTTAAGAAACATCAATGTAAAACAATCGGTGTTCTGCAGCACTGTATTCAGAGCCAGTTTGTAAAAATACACTTCCATGTGTTAGGCCAATTTGGAGTATTAAAGAAAGTTGTTCAAGTTTTCACACTGGATGTAATTTTGAAGAGTTTTTTTGAGCTACTGAATACTACACATAGTGCCCTGTTAATGCCTATACAATGATGTATCTCTAAGTCATAGTTGAAGCTTGAAATCATGACAACACATAGCTTATTGACGCTGTTATTTTCCCCCATTCATTTTAGCTACTGTAAAACATGTTTAAATAGCTACATGTCATTTTAGCTAATTTGACTCCATGCATGAATTAACTGAATCTTAATTTAGCTAAAGTGCCAAAAATCTCGTTGTGAGAAGATACTTTATTCTAAATTAGTGACATCTTGACATGTTTTACAATATATTTATGGAGGCTTTCAACAGGCAATGTGTTAACTAGAAAAACGTGGCGTTTCTCAAAACCTGACCACAACATAACATTTCATTTCAGTATTATAGATTGATTCAAACCATAATTTGTGAGTTATGAAACTAAGTCTACATTGTTAAGGACCTGATGAACAAGGACTGAAATGAAAGTTTGTTATATAAGAAATGATGGCGGGGAAGGTGGGTGATTGGAAGACAAGTATTTCTATATTTTATACTACATTATTAATGACAACCGAAGAGAAGAGGATTCTTGGAGACAATATCAAAAGATGAGAACAGGATATGTAAACACAATTCAAGCATCAGTCAGTGGTTGTACATTGACCAAACTGACAGGATGACTAAACAGAATATTAACCCTTTCAAAGCCAATGTAATCTTTGGTCAAAATTAGGTGATCTGCAGAATTTGTTTCCAAATTATTCCAAAAATTGTTATTAGGATTTTTAGGAAATTATGTACTTCAGTCAAAGAAGAGTTTGACAAGTAGGTATTTGGTGGATATTATATGTAGGTATTTTGGAGGAAATTTGTTACAAGTCATTTTGACAAATTATATGTCAATCACGAGAGGGTTAATACGAATTATGTTTCTATATCCCAGAATGATCTTTTAAGATTGGACCCAGCAGACCCACCTTCTTATGATACCATCTGACAGTATGCAGCCTATAGTAACTATAACTCAGTAACTTTCACTGCAATTTAACAAAAAAAAAACAGGAATTTGTAAACATGCAAAGCAGGCCAGAGATGCAAGGCAGAAGACATCAAGATCATGGGCGACAGTTTAACTTACCAGTTGTCGGCGTTTTGCTAGGCGATGCTTTTATAGTAGATGTTGTCGAATACCGAGATGGTGAGGGGTATCTTGTTTTCGAACCTAGTGGCCGCGGACGTGCTTGAATCTCCAATGTTCGGGGTCTTTCGGGTACAGTGCTCTCGGGACTGAAAACTGATATTAAAGACGAGAGGGTTATTATACTGTGTGGTTGTTTTCTATTTAAGATTGGCAGTAATGTATGTTATCCAATTAATTTTGGCAGTTATATTCGTAAGCATTAATTTATAGTTAGTACTCATGTTATCCACAACAAACAGTGCTAACTACAGACACAATTTCAAGTGACCATGCCCCTTTAGTGAGCCAAATGCAAACATGTTCAAACATGCTGTCTTAGTATGATGAACAGTATCAATACTGGGAAACCATTCTCTGCAATGTTATGTACCAGGTTTTAAATGATTTGCACACATAACCGAAGCACTCAGATACTAACTTGCTGGATATACTGTCTATGCCCTTTGTAATAGTTGATGCAATTTTCTGTTGACAAAGGCATTTCAAATATGCAGCTTATGTGAATGAGCAAACATACAGAACTGAATATTTTGTAAAACAAGAATAAATCCTTATGAAAAGGAAATAACATGACAGGTAAACTTACTTCCGCTGGATCTTCTGGGAGGTGGGAGTGGTGGGTCAGGAAAACGAGGTGACATGTCAGTACCATTGCCTGCATTTATGACTTCCTCTTTTCTAGTTGGAACAAAGATAGGTCCACTTGCGTCTGAGGGTGTTTTAAAACTACCAATACTGCCATCGGATGAAGTGCGTCGATGTGACCGCACTGGAGGTTGAGGTTTGGGTTGTGCGTAATTGAACTGAGCAGCAACATCATTAACAAATTTCAGAGTCGGCTCATCTTTATATGCAAAGGCAGCATTCTCTTTAACAGTCACTGGAGTCTTTTGAGGATCAAACACTGTATAAGATTCTTGTCTCTTGAAGTCTGGGGATGAATTCTCTGAAGATATTGGGGACAGCTGTATTAACCGCGCTGTGGAAGAAGCCGACAGAGTTGGTGATGCACCAATGGCATCATAAGGCATCCGTGAAGAACCCCCAATAAATGATGATGGTCTTTGGTCCGTACCAGTAGCATCATTATCCAGCACAGTGACAGGGCTAAAGCGTTCTCGTTCCTGATCTACAGATCCACTTTGGTAAATTGCTAGATTCACACCACGAATGTCAAATCCAATGGCAACAGACGCCAGGATAGCCGCTGCACCATAAAGTCCTATTTCAGTGCGTCTCTTCACTGCTCGCAGGGTGTTACTTGGTGAATCTCTGTCATCTTGAGGTATATCTTTCCAATGTTTTGGCATTCCAAGCTCATCTGGCCATTCATCCTCCTCATATTCTAGGGAAAAATTAGACACTGTGAAAATCAGTAGCATCTACAACAGAGGTGCATATCAAAACTTCCTGAGAAGCGCTTGCAATTATGTTAGCAAACAAAATTTTAAGAATATATTATTTACAATACAATATTTTAAGAATAGTTTATAGTTGTATGTTTCAACCAAGCTGTAAACTATCAACATTTTTTAGTCAATTTAACAAGTTTATATAGAAAGTCTAGTTGTATAAATTGAAAGAGAGATGCAAATAATGATTAGCCATTGCAAGATTGAAAGTGAGAAAGTACCTGATTCCTGTACACAACTGAATCCTGGGGTAGGTCCATAGCTCCTGAGTGTTTTGCCAAGATTAGGTGCACTGCTAGACCACATTTTACTATTTCCATCAGCCAATGAGCGTAGTTTGGCAGCCTGTTTCCGTCTTTCCTTCTCACGTTGGTGAACAGAGCTTGGTCCCCATGTTTTGCCTTTTACCTGAGGTTTGTTTCCTGGGGGTACTATGAACAGAAAAGGTGGATACAGTTAACACATCTATGTGTGTTCATTTAATAGAATTTCTTTGAAAGAAGGTGCTAGCTAGGTAGGTAGATTACTTACATGCTATAGCTCTGAGCCTTGGTAAAGGACTTGCAGGAGGGCTATGAGGGCTATCTGGACTATTAGGAAGCCGAGGACCTCTCCTTTCTGGAGGAGGCGACGGACGAACAGTAATCTTGTGCTGAAAATCTGAAAAACAAATGACAGACAGTGCTGAGTCGTACATTCAGTATGGTCTATGGGTGATTATGAGAAGTTCATAAAGTCAATTGTTGTTAAATTTCAGGGTATGCTTCAAACAGTGATGAAATGTAAATGTTTCATACATCTACATGTCATGTCCACCAGAGGACATACTTTTATGTTACTGATGTTTCATCAGAACATCATAAATGCTGTAACTGTATGAACACATCATTTGTAATTCCAGACACTGGTGATACATGATTTCACAGTCCATAAACATCTGATTCTGTGAGCATCATTAACTGTTAATCAATCGTGCAAGAGTTTACTCACCAGAAGGCATACTGATTCTTTTTCCACCTTCCTTTTTCAGTTTGAGTCTACCTTTTTTAAATTTTCCTTTTCGCTTCTTTGGTGTTGGTTTATCTTGCTGTTGCTGTAAAATCATGATGTTCAGTTCTCGTTCAAGCAAGTCTATCTCCCTTTCGGCTAGCTCCTGTTCACGTTTCTTGAGACACTCTTCTTGTAGTTTCTGCTGTAAAGCAGCTTTGGAGAGCTCTTCTTCTCGTGAACGTAACTCCTGTTATGCAAACAACCAATAAAATATGCAACTGAAATACTTGTGTATTGAATCAAGTAAGCTTTTTTTTCTGTCCAAAGAGCTAAGGTCAATGACATAGAAGTAAAGAAGAAATAGTTCAGACAAAGGGTTGACAAATGTCATACTAAGTATAGTACACTGTGGGCTTAATCAGAAAGTACCATTACTACAAAACTCAACAAATGATGTGTAATTCAGACTGTCACATCCATGTGTATCATAAATAATACCGTCATCATATCTACCTCATTATTACCCTGGTAATAAAATTACCTAGATTAGTTAATTAAATGCGCTCAAGCATTCTGCTCTTCAGAGATGTATAATTTTTAAAACCATTCCACTGATCTAAAATCTTCAGATTTATTGTCAGATTGTCTTAGATTGTCTTTGTAAGTACATAAAGTACTGATCCGATTTGTTCACATAGTATTTATTTGTATAAGTACTTGTTTGTGATTTTTTTGACCCCTGTCTGTTAATGTGACTTGCTCTGTTGGTCTTCCTTAAAATAAATAAAATAATACTAAATAAATTCTAGTTATCAACACAAACATACACATATAGCAAAACAATCTGTATTGGATAAGTGAAATTGGTGATTTGCATATGCAAATTAGAAAAATAAACAGGATATCCTGTATTTTCAGTGTTTTATTGTACAGTCAACATCAAATGCAAATTTGGTAATTAACAACACAAATTGATGATAACCGATACCCTATAGATGTGAGAAGGTGGTGAATCATGTGATGTAGGGGATTAAATAACAGATTGACTTATCTCTTGTACAAACAAAGTTTTACATGCACTCTATGTGAACCATGCACTCTATGTGTAGTTGTACAACAAGAAGATGAAAGTGGAATGGACTTATTGTAAACAGTTTCTGTTGCTGGTACACAAAACAAGCAATACCAAAAAGCAGTCCTGTTGCATATTTTAAGATTTGACTTTGACTTAATGAATATCCTTGGATAAACTTGATGATTTATTTTACAATAAGCAATAAAGTGCCATTACCTTTTCTTTCATCTTAAGTTCTTGAAACATAGCTTCAATTTCCACTCTCCAGTCTTCTTGCATGGAATGGAATGATTCATATGGTGTATTGATAAAAGAAGATTCAGCAATTTCATTTAGTTGGTCCAAAATTTCATGGAATGATGGCCGTTTATGAGGATCTGCATGCCAGCATTCTGAAAGAAAAATTGAGAATAATAATAATCATGATCAAAGAAAGCTTAGAAAGAACTCCCGTGTGCTGAGAGTATTGAAGACACATTAAAAATTAATTAAAAATTACTTGTACTTGAGATATTGATGGAATAGCTGAAAACTAATTATGTAAATCAGGTAACTGATATGAACAGATTTAAGTGTAAAACTAATAAGGTTTGCACAATGTACCAAGTTTCATTGAAATGTGATTAGAACCCCAAAAATATTAATTCTTATGCTAATTAGAGAGTTAATATGAACAGATTTTAACCCAAAATTAATCAGGATGTCTATTGTCCTAGAGCATTTTTATGTACCAAGTTTTATTCAAATGTGATGATCAATACTTGAGATATCAGTATTAATTATGTTAATTAAGTGATTAAGAAGCATACATATTTACCAAAAACTAATATGGTGTATAGTCCTAGGTTCATTGAAATGTGATGGGTACTCTTTAAAAGTTTCATTGAAATCCAATGAGTGGTTTGTAGACATCAGTACAACAGCCATATACAGCAAAAAATTAACTAATTATGCAAATTAGGTAATTAATAGCACAATTATTTATT